CAGGAAAGGTATAATGCTGCCCAGGTTGCACCCCCCTTTCAGGCTTCTTTAAGTCCGATTTCCAAAAGGGTGGGGAAAAAAGCTCCTTTCTTGAACCCAGCCAAGAGTCTACAGTACAGTACTAGATTTTATTTATGGCATAAGCCTCCTATGTGGATCGTGGCCCAAGGATGCAAGCAGCCTCCTACCCTCCACAGAGACCAGTGCCCAGTAAAACGGGCTAGCTTTCAAGGTGACACAAAGCTCTTGGTCAAGGCTGCTGCAGCAAATCCCCAAGGGTGTGTGGAAAATTCCCACTACAACTCCCATGGGGCTGGCCTCTTCTTATTGATGGTTCCCAGCAAGCGTGACCATTTAAACTGAAGGAATGTGGGCAAGATGATGATTTTGGGTTCCCTGACTCTGCAGTTCTAGGATTCAGGGCTGTCATGAGGTGGGCGGTTCCCCCGTTCCATAGCCCGTCCGGAATGCCCAGAGACGTGATTAGAACTCAGATCTCCACTCCCCCAGCCAAGTAACATTTGGCGCTTCTCCCATAGCTTTATTTCAGATTTTAAGTCTGCCTGTCCTTCCTCGACCCTCCCCGATGAGCTGCCCAGGCGTTTTTTTTAACCTAACGACACCCCTGCAGGGTGGATCACTGGGGAGGAGGGAGCTGAGAAACCCAAGCGAGAAAGGTCTTGACAGTTCCAATCCTGGCTCCTCTCTCTCATTCTCTGTGGGGCGGCCGCATTGGATCCTCGGCTTCTTTTAGGCAGGAAGGCTGTCTTTCCACCGAGCCTTGTAATTTAGGGAAATCATCATTAATCCATCTTGGGCAGGAACCGTCGGAATGACGGCTCTGCCATCGCCAAGTTCACTGGGAAGTGACCAAACCCTGGAATGTTTTTCCCTGGCCGTGCCAAGTGGGGAGACGCTCGCCAAGCGCTGGCCGTTTTTCCGGACTTGTCGGGACTCGCTTGGCGCTTTTCCCTCCCCAATAAGTTTGAGCAAGCTAAGAGTAGAGATTTAGAGAATCTTTATAGTGGGCACACCAGGCTATAAAGGTGGCCTGCTTTAATTGTGTTGTTGTTGTTGTTGTTGTTGTTATACGGTTTGCCTCCAGGTATTCATTGTGAAGCAAAGCAGACTTTATCAAGGCTGTGTACTGTCTTGTGCGGTACATTTTTGAAACTGCCTTTCCCGACGCCGTCCACCCCAAAATCCAGTTTCTGGGCATTGATTTTGACTCACATCCTGCTTTTTTTTCTCCCTGCAAACCTGGGACGCCAGGGCCGATCCCAACAGGTGGCTGAAAACCCAAGGATAATTTAAAAAAAAAAAGCAATGACAGTAGGAGAACACAGCTGCAACTTCAAAATCACATTTCCCCCCTCTTAAACGAAGCATGCAGGCATATGGTTAAAAACTGCTTCCTCAGCGCACAGTCATCGGCAAAGAGTTTTTTTTTCTTGATGGGGAAATAGAAGCAAAAGTCTTTTTTTAAAAAAAAATGAGCTGGGGGGGAAGCAGAGAGAGAGAGAGGAAAAGATTATTGACGTCCAGATGTTTCACGGGGGGGGGGAGACATCCTTCCATCGCAGCTCTGAAAAAGCCTGATGCAACTGACTTTAAAACAAGGATGTGTTTTAGAATATGACTCGGGTGCTTCAGCCGTGGCCCCTCTTACAAGGAAGCAAAGGTGCTGGCCGCCTGCCCCCACAGGAAGCCCAACCACAGCTTCTTGGCCCCGAGTGCGGAGGAAGACAATGATGGACCGTCCTTGTGGCTGGGAGCGGACAGCTTCCCTGCAATTTCCCATCCCCAAAGGAAGCGGACGGACAGCTTCCAGCCAGATGGCTTTTCCCTGCTTCTGTCCTGCTTTCTTCGGCCGGATGGTGGCAAGATTCCCCCCCCCCAAAAAAGCCAGCAAATAAAGGACCACGGGACCCTTTGAGGTCATCTAGCCCCCCCCCGGTGCATGGACTCAGGCAGCACAAAGGGGCGGGCAGAAAGGTGCCAAGGAGTAGCCACCGGTGTGCAACTGGAAATTATACAGTAAATCTAAATATCCAGCCTGCAACTCCCATCGTCCCCAGTCGGGGAGTGTGTGTCGTGTGCTTCTAAAAACCTAGAGGTCACCAGAGGTCAGCCACCCCGGCCTTTGAAGGCAAAGCTGCGGGGTTTGGTTTTTATTTTTAATTTCCTTTTTCAAAGCGATTTGTTTTGGCTCTGGCGGATTTGCTGTCGCAAATATGAACAATAGCTTTTCCTCTCTTGTCAACGAGGGGTGGCTTTTGTATATTCACATTTGTAAATTTCCGCTTCTCTTTGGCTTCCCGCCTCCCCTCCCCCCAAGGATGATCTTCCCACTCTTTCAGGGTTGGGTGGTTCTCAAGCATCTCTTTGCTGGTCTTAATATCGGGGACAACTTTCGCCTTTTGGGGTGTCATCCTTCGCTCCCTCCGCCCCATCCTTTCTTGGGATTTCCGTCCCGGCCGGATCCAGAAAAAAAAACCCGTTGTATTTCCACCCCACCCCCGGCTTTGGGGCAGAGGTTCGGTTTTCCCTGGCTGCTCTCCATTCAGGGGGTTCGATCAGACGGGAACGTTGGGCAGCTGGTTTTTCTCACCGGTCCCTCCCCGCCAGCTGCCAGATCCCTTTTCCCAAAGAAAAAAAAATTCCACTTGTTTTCCTTGGATAAGCAGAGAGAGCCGCTTTTCCCACCGTGGGGCGGAAATGTGTCAGAGAGGCCAAAGGTCTCCCAGATGCACCACGAGGGTCGGCCTGCAAACAATGGGGCTGTGTTGGGCTTTGTGACTTTCTCGGTCCATGAAATCATTTCCTGGCAGGACTCCCACCCGGGCCGGCCAGATCGTCCCAAATTTCCTTTGGCCGAAAGGAAATTCGTTTCCTGGACGTGGCTTCAGTGGGGGGTCAGCATGGGGGGGTTGTTTTTTTAAAGCTACCTTGATAACAAGACCGAATCCCATGGAATAAACTCATATGGAATCCGTAGGATTTGACTCTGGCTCAGTGGTGGGCCCTATGGGACAGCAGGAATTTCTGCAAACCATATTGTGCCTCCCCACTGCAGGAATTCCAAGGGATTTATTGAAGGTCCCTGCCCTGAGGATCATCCAGGATGGAGAGTCAGGGCCCTTGAGAGGGTCTCCACCTTCTTTTATCCAGACTCTTCCCGGGGTCTCCTTCCCTTGGGTTCAAGAGCCGCTTGGAGGAGGCCGCCCCTCCGCCCCACCATCGGCACAAGCGAGGCTAATTTTAGGACAGGCGCGATGGACGGGTCTTGGCTCGTGTTTAGCGGGAGAGCCAGCGCAAAAGGGCAGGAAACATTTCCAGAATTTGGAGAGGGAGAGAGACAAACACACATCATTGTCTCCGGGTTTTGTGTTGCTTGGTCCTGGAGTCCCAAACACATCCTGATTCGTGCAGGGAGCATGTTCGGGGTTAAAGGAGAAAGAAAAGGAGGGGGAAAAAGGAAACCCACAACGGTCAAGGTTTAAAAAAAAAACTTGCCTTGTTATTTTCTGCACCAGAACAGAGAAAAAAAATCCAACCCTTTCTGCCCTTGGACTGCACTGGCACCGTTCACGTTCTGAGTTGTTTGGAGGTGCCACGTTTTATTTTTAAAAGGGAAAAAACAGTGCACTTCCAGCCGTCCTGGAGAGTCGAGCATATAAAAAAGGAGTTGAAATCGGGGTGCGTGGAGCAATCTCTGTGTGGCCCCAGGAACAGTCTGGAAGGAAGCAGGACGGAAGGACGGTTCGAATGGGCCCAGGGAACAAGTGGTCACAGGGCTTTGAAAACTGTGAATACTATTATTATTATTACTATTATTAGTATTCAGAAACCCCAGGCACAGTCAATCAAAGTTATAAAAACATGGACTGGTATTATAAACAGATACAAGTTTTAATCCAAAACCTAAGTCTCTGTTCAATATCAGCGCAGGATGTAAGCTGTTCCTAATATTGCCGTTTTTTTGTAGCTCTGAGGGTGTGATTTCTGAGATCTGCAGTATGATGATGATGAAGAGACAGCGGCTCACAAGACCGCCAAGGACCTGGGAGTTATAAGCCTCACCACTGGTGCGAAGAGCTGTTCCTAATATTGCCGTTTTTTTGAAGCTCTGAAGGTGTGATTTCTGAGATCTGCAGTATGATGATGATGAAGAGACAGCGGCTCACAAGAGCGCCAAGGACCTGGGAGTTATAAGCCCTGGTGCGAATCGTTTGTCTTTGCGGGATGATGAGGGTATCCCAAAGTTATATTTCAAAAAGATCAGATCAAGAGGAACAAAATTACTTGGGCAGCCACGCCGTGACTGCCGTTCTCCAGTTCCACTTTTTAAAAGTTTACTTTGGCAGGCCATTCTGTTTAGAGGCATTTTTACAGCCCCTCCGTGTCCTGGGGGGAAAAAACGGTCAAATATCCTAAATTGACTTTGTGTCTCTTTCTTGCCTCCAGAGTCATCCCCTCTTGAGTGGCACCTCTAGAAGGACGTGGTAGGACGCCATGGCCCAGCCGGCATCTCTCGACCGAAGCCTCCCAGGTAACGAGAAAATCAGCGGCTGGACTCTGGCAGGGAAGAAGGCCCTCCCTGAGGATGTCGGTAGGCAGCGAGGTCTGGGGGACCGTGACTGCTGCCACCCTCATCGTTTGGGTGTCTTTCAAGCAAAGATTTGTCAATTATAGCAGGACCCACCTGATCCACTGGATCAGGATCCACTGAGATGTATATTTTTAGCAATCCTGGCAGTTCACACCCTGTGGTTGTCGTCACGTGCCATCTAGCGGCACCCGATTCCTAGTGACCCTAATTGTGTCTTCTTTTCTTCCTGCTTTGTAGATCTGGGTGGCCCCTTTTTATACCGAGACCAGGATCAGGATGGGGAGAACTCCTCTTACTCCCTGGAAACCCCTTATGGCTTCCTGCTGGATCTGGACTTCCTCAAATACGTGGAGGAGATCGAGCGAGGCCAAACCCTCCGGAAGGTCCCGCTGAGCCGCAGAGCCAAGGGTCCCCGTGGGCAGGCGGGGGGCTGGACCTCCACCGAGTCCCTTTCGTCCGTGACCAGCGAGGATGGGAAGCCGGCCTTCTCTCCCCGGGACCGGACGGGGACTAGTTCTGGGGAGATCAAGGAGGCCGCCAGCAAGCAGCAATTCCTGCCCTCGTCTCCGAGCCCCGTCCTCCTCCAGCTCCTCCCGCCTCCCTCTTCCAAAGCGTTGATGAGGAACACGAGGGTGGAGAAGACCTTGAAAGAAACCAGCAAGAGGCTGGAACAGCAGGAGGAGCGGAAGGTGGCCACCGGCCCTCCGCCAGCTTCCATTCCTCTCCTCGGGGAGGACCCGGGGAACACCGATGGGCCGGTCAAGAGGAGCCCATCCAATTCAGGGAACAGCACCCCAGCGACGGCACTCAGCCCTGCACACCTCCAGCACGTCCGCGAGCAGATGGCGGCCGCCCTCCAGCGGTTGAAGGGGCTGGAAGAGCAGGTGAAAGTGATCCCGGTTCTGGAGCAGACGATCTGCCGGTTGAGGAGGGAAAAGGAGGAGCTGACGGCGGGGCGGCGGGAGAAACTGGACCCCTCAGAGGAGGAGGACGCCACCGGTGTCTTCTGTTTCCCGCCGAGGTCTCCCCGCGCGGGCGCCCTTGTCAAGACCGAAGAAGGATCCCAGGACAGATGTGACGGCACACCTGCGGAGGAAGGTGAGGCCGAAGGCCCTCCAAAGACGAGGTCTAGCAAAATCGCCGGTTTGAAGAAGCTGACAGAGAAATTGTCCGGCTCGGAGAAAGTGGGAAAGGCGGGCCGAGGAGCCTCCGGGCCACCGAAGGCCAGAGAGCCCGCTCGACGGTCCGTCGGCGTCGGGGAGGAGGTGGACATGAACGAGGCCATCTTCTACTACCGCTTCCAAAAACCGTGCAGGGAGGTGGCCGTCGGGCGAGAGGCGGAGACCCGGGACGCAGAGGTGTGGGTGATGGAATCCCTGCTGGGGGTTTCGCCGGAAGCCGAGGAGGAGCGGGAGCTGCTTCAGCAGACCGTCCGGCACCAGAAGGAGGTCATCTCCCTGCTGGAGGGCCACCTGAGAGAAGCCACGGAGGAGATGGAAGAGCTGCGGCAGGAGGTTTGCGCCCGGAGGCCGAAGGATCTCATCTGCCGAGAAGCCGAAGCCCGGCCAGAGATGAGGGATGCGTCCACGGAAGCCACACTGTGCCAGGCTCTGAACAGCCACGTGGAGACATCCGACGTGGCCGTCCACTGCGCTCCGCAGGTAGCATGCGTTGGCGTCGGCTGCCACCGGTGGCGAGAAGGATGTGGGCAGAAAGCCACCCAGACTGATCTGGAGAATGAAAGCCCGGCTTCAGGGGGGGAAGCCAAGGCAGAACCTGGTCAAGAGGTGTCCTTGGGGGTCTCATCCGGCCCGGGAGAGGCAGTAGCCGGCCCAGGGTCCCGTCCTGAGGAAGGCCAGGGTACCCAACGGGCTGAACGGATGGAGGTTTCGCAGTCAGAGCTGAACATCCCGCAACAGAAGCCCGAAACGGGGCCCACGCAGACCCCAGGCGCGGGTGAGCTGCTTCCCACGGCGATGACCCCAAAGGTTGCCCAGGAGGGGGAATGACTAGTCCCAAAGCCCAACAGCTCCCTTTCCACCCTTTTAAAATATAGCTTAAATCTGGGTTCAAGATGCCCCCCCCCAGAACCTGCTTGCCGTGCGTTTTGTGCATAGGCACCGCGGGTGGCTTTCCTTTTGGAGAAACAACAATCAAGGGTTTTTTTTTTGGGGGGGGGGAGATCCACATTTCAGGAGGCTGCCAGGAACAACCCTCCCTCCCCACGCTCACACCCCTGAACCTGTCCTATTTAGACCCATTTGGACATGAATCTTAGGCCAGCCTCCGGGTTCCCTGCTATGTTCTGTTTTCCTGCCCAGGGGCCCTGAAGTCCATCATGAAGAAGCAAGACAGCTCGGCCAAGGGGGAGGCCGGCTCCGGGCGGAAGATGTTGCAGTTTGTGGGGGTACTGAATGGCGAGTACGAAGCCTTTCTCTTTTTTGCGAGGGGCAGGCCGGGCGGGCGCTGCAGCTGGGTGCTGTGCCTCCAAATCCCGGAAGGATGCATGCCACCGTAGGCTTGCAAACCCGCTCCGCCCCCCGGCAAATCTATGCAGACCAGAAGGCCGGCAGGGTGGCAAATCTCCCGGGTCTGCCCTGGACTTGAAGGGCCCTCCGGCCCCATCCAGAGGGTCCCTGACCACCCACCACCACCACCACCCCTACTCTCTCTCACGGCAGGTACGAGAGCACCTCGAGCGAGGAAGAGGAGGAGGCGGTGTCTCCAGAGAAGATGTCCCCGCTCAGCTCCGACTCAGACAGCGGCTCCAACACTTCGGAAGAGGATGATGATGATGACCTGGCTGCCAAGCCAGAGCCCAGTGACCTGGAGGCTTCCATCCTGCGGGTGGTACAGGAAGGGGAAGTGCTCGGCTGCGATCCAGAGGAAGACAGAGAAGGGAGAGACGATCCTGGAGTAGTTGCTTCGGAAGTGAAAGAGAGGTGATTCGGGGCTGGGGGCAGACCCTGCAGCTCCCCATGTGGCTGGTGCAAAGGGTTACTTATGGCTGGGGTCAGGGGTGTTGTCCCTGTGGCAAGCAGCCAGTCTGGGGAGACGTTGCCCCCTTTCCAAAGGAGTGCGCACACATATATAGAGCCAGCCAGGCAGCGCCAAGACCCGTCAAGATTACAGCTTTATGAAACGAAAGGGTGTTATTTGCCTCTGACCTCAATGGAATGGGCGAAGGATCAAATCAGCAGCCTGTATTGTGTGTGTGTGTGTGGTCTCTCCCGCCAGATTCGAACTCAGTCCCCAGATGAGAGAGGCTTGTCTTGTCTTGAGGAGCCACCTAGGCCGCGATGGGGCTGCTGTGAAGAGCAAAGAGGTGGTGAGTCCGTGGGACCGGATTGGTAGGAGGGCAGGTTGATCCCAAAAGGTTTTAGTCGGCGGGTCTTTGGATTCCAGAGATCCTCAACCCAGGCCTGGTTTCATAGGGAAGCGGGTCTTTATTTATTATTTATTTATTTATTTATTGGACTTATATACCGCCCCATAGCGCTACAAGCACTCTCCGGGCGGTTTACAATTTTTTTTTTAATTATACAGGCTACACAGGTATAATAATTATACAGGTCTTTGGATTCCAGATATCCTCAACCCAGGCCTGGTTTCATAGGGAAAGAAAGCCAGGCTATGGTTGCAGGGGAAGAAGCAGAGTAACTCCTCTTATCCCACAGCCGCTTCGTTTGCTGAAGAGCCTTTTAGAAAGGGGCTTTGTCTAAAAATCAAGCCTGACGAACCTTCGCCTTACCTTGGAATCCAGAGAAGTGGAACGCGCCCTGCTGTCGAAATGGCCCCAACTCACAGCTTCGGTTCTCTCTCTCTCTCCTGGTGTCTAGCTCTCCAGCACCAGCTTCGTCCTGCAGCACTGGTTCTGCATCTCCAGCCAGAAGAGATCGCTGGCCAGCGAGGTGGCTGACCACCTCCAGGCCTTTGCTGAAATCTCCCCGGCCCTGCTGTCCCACGTGGTCAACCTCTCCGATGGCAACGGGAACACGGCCCTCCACTACAGCGTCTCCCATTCCAACTTCGACATTGTCCGGCTTCTGCTCGACACGGGTAAGAGGGGAAAGGA